CTCAGGACGCCCGGAGCTCACCTGGCGCGGACGCCCGTCCCACCGGCGGCGCGTTCCTGGGCGGAGGCCCGCTCCCCTCGGGCCGCGGTGGCGCCGCGCGGGTTTATTGCCGGAAGCCGCCCGCGCGCGGCCTCCCGGGAAGGCCCGCCCCCAGCCGCGCTGATTGGCAGGCGCGTCCCCGAGGCCGTGGGAGCGCGCGTGCGCAGTGTGGCTGCCTCGGGCGGAGCGCGGAAGCCCGAGCCGGGCCCGCAGGGGACGGGGGTGGGGATGGGGGTGGCGCGCGTGGGGAGCGCAGCCTTGTGGGCTGCGTGTCTTCACACCGGAGGAGCAGGGGAGGGCCCTGGACCCCGGTGGCCGTCTGGTCGTGGCCACGCAGCCGCAGCCGCAGCCCCGCCCCTGCGGTCGGAACCTCCGAGGTGCAGCTTAGGTCGCCCCCAGACCTGTGCGCCCCGTTCCCTTTGATGCTTTAAGGCCCAAGGACTTTATAAACAATTGAGAATACTGTTCAGATCCTTCTAGAAGACTAAAGGTTCTGGGGAACTAGCTTCAACATGTGGGTTTTTCCCCCAATTAGGAAAAAATGAACGTAGCGGTTCGGGGAAGGGACGTGGGGACGTAGGGCGCTGCGGAGGCGGCGGGGCTCGGGAGACGCCGGGGCTGGGAGTCCGGAACGGAGGCGTGTGAACCAAGGAAGGCCTTCACGTCTCCGCTCGTTTTCCTCACGGGAAAAATGGGGGCGGCAGCAGTGCTTACCACACGGGATTTTTATGAGTTAAATGAGCCAACATAAGCAAAATATGGAAAACTACTTGGTGTATAGTGAGCGATATGTCAAGTGCTTGATCTTAGTGCTTTACAAAATGTGTTTTTATACTTGGGACACATGCAGGAAGCATGTAGTAGGTATTCATATTTTAGAAAAATGTTTTTGTATATAATTTCTGACGTGCTTATTACAAGTGTTCTTTAACTGTATGCTTTTAAAATAACATCCCTGCCTTCTGTGTGCCTGGCGCCTAATAAAGAGCATTGAATGGCTAAGTGGCCCCTGGGAATGTGTACCTGGCTGCCTCTTCCACCTCCACCGGGGTTATGCTTTGTTCTGGTAAGATCGTGGGGCGCTCTTGGCCGGATAGGGTAGTTTTCCAGGGCTGCAGGTGGGCTGGGAGGATGGGAAAAGAAATGGCAGCAGCTGGATCCTCCATTTGCCCAGAGACAAAACATGGTGTGGATCCCACTGCTGCAACTGTTTTGTCGGAGGCACTGAAATCAATTGTGATTCAGCAAAGGTTAATGGAGAATTTACTCTGATGTAAAACGTGGTTAAACACAGACCATACACACACACACACACACAGTCTAAACGTCAGCTCAAAGCTTCCCCTTTAGAAATTGGGGGAGTAAATCCTCCTGAATGCCAGTAGAGTGGAACCATATCATCCTGGCCACAAAAGTGCTCCGGACTGGAATTCCAAAATCCAAGCTGAACCTACAACTAACTACTCCAGCTAATCACTGAGTCTTTTAGGCAAGTCACTGCACCTCTCCAAGTCTCCATTTTCTCATATATAAAATCAGGATACTGGGGCCGGCCGAGTGGCTCAGTTGATTAAGAGCTTGTTCAAGAGTGCAAGCTCTGAGCAACAGGGTGGCCGGTTCAATTCCCACATGGGCCAGTGAGCTGAGCCTGAGCTGAGCTGCCAACAGGTGGCAGGATGGCTCAGCTGGTGAGAACACATGCTCCTAACAACAAGGTCGCCTGTTCGAGATGGTGGGCTACGCCCACAACTAAAGACTGAACTCAGCACTCTGAGCTGAGCTGCCACCAGGATGGCTCAGTGCATAGAGAGTGTGCTCTTAACAACAAGGCTGCTGGTTCGACTCCTGTGTGGGATGGTGGTTACGCCCAAGGGCAACTATTTGAACACAGCACCTTGAGCTGAGCAGCGTGACTGGACTTGGAGCTGAGCTTGCTGCACCCTCCACAACTAAGATTGAAGAACAACTTGGCTGTTCCCCTCCCCCAATTCCCCAACACTGTTCCCCTCCCCCAATTCCCCATTTTCTTTAAAAGAAAAAATCAGGATATTACATTTATACCTTTAATTGTTCAAAATTATTTTTGCAGTAGACTGTAAGCTCCACGAGAAGTATGGAGGGAGGCTATCAGAAGACACAGTGAGGCTGGCTTTGTACACAAAGGGGTCACTAGCTAGGAATGCAGGCAGCCTCTAAAGTTGGGGAAAAAACAAAAAAGTGGATTCTCCTCTATAGGGGCCAGACGGACGCCCCTGAACACCTTAATTTTAGGACCCTGACCTTCAGAGCCAAAAGATAATCTATGCTGTTTCAAGCCACCGAGTTCCTGGTAATTTGCTGCGGCAGCAGCAGGAGACTAGCACAGGGCATGGAGGGTCCAGGTGGGAGAGAAGGCGGCGTCACAGACGCGAGCCTGGAGGGCCAGTGCACTTGTCGCGTCTGGGCAGGACAGGTGCGCAGCTGACTGCTGCTGTTTACTGAGGAGCAAGCCATCCACACTGGGGCGCCTGTGCTCTCTACCCGGTCCCGGGTCCTGGGTTGAGCTCCTGGCCCTTCTCTGAACCAGCAGACTTCTCATCACACTCCTCCCTTCGTGCTCACTCCCTCTGCACCCACAGACTACCCGTCAGAGACAGAGGCCCCGCCTGTGCCACCCGCTGGCCACGCTGGCATGGGGTGACAAGCACCCCATTGGAAGGGACCCCTCTTTCATCTAGCAACGGGGAAAGTGGTCTTTGAGACATCAGTCTGCCACCTTTCTGGAATGCAGCATTTTGAATAAACCTACTTTTCTTTCCACCAACCCTTGTCTTTTGATCACTGGCTCATGAGCGGCATGCAGCCGAACCTGAGTTCAGTAACAGTGTGCGATCGGTCCAGCGGCTTCTCCGTCCGTCGGTGGAAATTGTTCATACGTGGTCGTGGAGAGAGCAGACTCGAATGTCAGACGAACCAGGCTCCAGTCGCCGCGCTCCCACAGGCCAGCTCCTCAACCACCTGTGCCTCCGTTCTGTGGACGGAGAAGGGGCCACAGGTTAAACCCGACAAGCTCAGGAGACCGAAAATAACCACATAGGATGGTGTGAACATAAAAATATCCCTAACTAAGGTGGGCCATGGCGGGAGGTCACATCCTTGGCCTGTGGCTTTCTTGACAAAGGTCAATCTCTACCTTAAGTGAGCCTTCTATTGTCTTTTTGCATCTAGGATAACATGCCCTTGGAATGTCAGTCATCCCTTTTTCAGACCAGAGCAGGAAGCTACAGAATCCCTAATTATTATTCTTGTTCCCTGATTACCATCTCCTTGTGCTGTAAAAAGTGAACTATTAACTATCCTGCACCCACCTATGTGAAAGAAGTACCTGTCTCTCCAATTTACTCTTATCCAATCCCAGAGGTTTCCCCACTTTGCTTTCTCCCACCCCCTTAACCGATCACCAATGGATTTCATGTTACCTTCCTCCTTTTATTCTGTGTATAAAATAAGCTGCAAACTGCCATTTTCTCAATTTGTTGAGATTTTGCTTCCTGGCAATCATTGTCAGTTTGGCTCAGATAAACTCCTACAAGCTTTCTCTTAGGCTGGATGTTTTTTCGTTGATAGTTTTCTCTTTTGATCGATAGGGATATCAGTTTTCCCCCACAGCAATGTTGTGATGACTGAGTGAGCTGTAGTCACTTGTCCTTAACTCAGGGCAGGGCCTAGTGCAGGGGAGCATCAGCTGAAACTCACACACATTCTCCTCCTTGTCACTACTGTCATCATAAAATCTGTCATGCTCACCACACACAGCAAAAATGCCATGTCACTCCAGGATCTTGGCCAGGAACTAGATGGACCTCACCAGGGAAGGAGAGCGGTAGAAATTGTGGTTTTTGAAAAATTATGTCAGTGTAGTTTATATAATGCCATTTAATTCACCTTTCAAAAAAGAATGTAAAATTAGGGTCCATCTCTTTTTTTTTTTTTTTTTTAAGATTTTATTGGGGAATTGGGGGAGAGGAACAGCATTGGGGAATCGGGGGGAAGGGGAACAGACAAGTTGGTGTCCTTTTGTTCTTCAGTCTAGTTGTGGGGGACGTTGCTTCACTGGCCCAAGTTGGCACCATCATTGCGCTCTTCCCGGGCGAGGCAGATCAGTCGCCGGCTTCTGGACGGCCGCTCACCGCGACTGCTGGCTGCCGGGGTCCTGCCTCGGCGTTCCAGTGAACAGTACCTGAAGTGGGGGGCGAGGTTTAAGGAAAAAAAGAGACAAAGAGACAAAGAGGGTCCGGGAGGACTGGAAGCATTCTTAGCAACCAGCCCCGAGTTTATTTTTCCTCCCCATTATATACCCCCAGAGTACATGTAACACAGAAGGGATGAATATGCATAACTTCATTAAAAGTACATCATTAGTTACCAACTAGAAACCTGAAGGTCAGTGGAAAATTTAGAGGGTCAGTTTCCCAGGAAACTATCTTCCCCAAAGCCAAACAGCCCTCTATCTTCGTGTGTCTTCTAAGGAACTGGCTTTCTCACCACATGCCTCAAGGTTAAGTAAGCATCCTCCAGGTGCAGAAAGGAGCAAGAAGCAAAACAAGTTATACTACAGTAAAGCCAGCCTGCATGGCTCCCAACAGCTGGCTACACACGGTAGCCCATGGTAACCCATTGCAGCAGGGGCTGCAGCCTACACCGACGCCGGTAACTCACGGCAGCCCAGCTCCAGGTCAAGCTGTTGCTCAGCATCTTAGCTGTAGAGGGCAGTGTCACTGGCCCTCACATGGGATCCAAACCGGGGCCCTGCTGCTCAGAGCTGGCGTCCCAAGCCAACTCCTAGCCAAGGCGCCACTTGGCCGGCACAGGGTCCATCTCGATAATAACAACAAGTTGTCAAGAGAGAACCATCTATCCTGTCAGGAGAAGCTCGGGGGAGGGCTGGACTAGCTGCAGATGGGCAGCAGTTGTACTTCCCATGCCTCCTGGAGGGCCCCAGGGGCCCTGGAAGGAGTGGCAAAGCACCCCAAAAGTCCCTCCACTGTACTGGAGAGGCATGAGGAGAAATGATTCTAATTAGAAAGAACCCAACGTTGAAGGTCAAGTATGATAGGAGATG